TAATTAAGATACCCTCAACAAATCTATAAGAGCACTGTGCTACGCGACAACACAATCATACGGTCTCAGAACGAACAACAGATTCATGCGATCAGATTCACAAACTTCAGATGTACGTAATCTTACTCATAGTACACTCGCACAGAAAAAGGTATAAAACACTCCAAAACACATTCATAAAAACACTAGCTTAAACTCTTGCTAAAACCTACATAAAACTAAAGGAAGCACTTATAAAACCCTTACACACAGAAAAAAACTAAAAAACAAACCACAATCATAGAAATATTGGCTTAAAAAAATTACTAAAACACATAAAACTCATATTGAAGCATTCGTAAAACACTTCTAAGACACCCATGCGCAAGCATAAAACATCCGCCATAAAACTCACTGTAACAGACAAAGCGCATCAAACGCAGGCAGTTGTTAAAACATTCGCTTAAAAATTCACTAAAAACAGGCATAAAACACATATCAAAACATGCATAAAACTCACAAAAATAAACATCTATAAACCTTCAGAGTCATACTGAAATAATCACAAAAGACATACACACGTAAAAAAATCTTCCAAACGCGAAACAATCATAAAACAGCCCATACACACATATGAAAGCCGTAAACTTGCGTGATTTCTTACGAATAACTCCTCAATACAAACTTCAACGCAGTCACAAAAGGAAAACGGCGAATTCCTAAAACAATTAGGAAATCATTCAGTCTCCCACCAGAAAGTCAAAGCCCGTATCAAAATGACGAAGATAAAAACAACAGAAAAAACAAACAAACAAAAAAGAGAATTAAGCACCAAAGCAAACAACCGTAAAACACCGATACACAAAACTAAGGAAAACCACTAAGCCAAATCAAATAAAAACCGAAAGAGTAATACAAATCAAAGGTAAAAAAGGAACAGAAACCAATCTAAATAAAAGAACAAAATATGATAAATAAACATACCATGTGTGACAGACCGACTATGTGACTACGGGTTAAGAACTGCACGAAGACATATGAACGTCTTAGACATAACAAGCAGTAACACCGTCTTGGAGTCATCGAATCTACTAATTACTGGTAAACACAAACAAAACGCCATTTCCCGCCGCTTGCCACTAAAATATTCGTTACGCTGTAGTGGATAATCAAACTCCGTAGAGTTAGAAATGTTAATTTGGTAGCGTGTTACCAAACTACAGGCAATCTCTAATGGGTTTGGCGTCTTTTGGTGATGACTATCTGGTGTTTTAAAAGTGATCCCGTAGTCACAATAAAAGAACATTAAAATAACACCACTGGCTGACTAAAAAGGCAACATAAAAAGAGCATCCATATTATACATTTATTACACACATAACCAATATACACGACAACACACCATACACTTAAACATATATATATATATATATATATATATATGTGTGTGTGTGTGTGTGTGTGTGTGTGTGTGTGTGTGTGTGTGTGTGTGTGTGTGTGTGTGTGTGTGTGTGTGTGTGTATAAGATTTTACACACACACACACACACACACACACACACATATATAT